AAAAAAAAAAAAACAAAGAATTATTATCTTCCTTTTAGCTTCCCAACATAATTTAGGTTACTTTTCCACAATTGCCTCTCTTTGTTCAACCCAACATATTAATAAAAGCATGTAGTTTTTGCCATTTCTTTGGGTCTTCATTTCTTTATGACAGTTCCTATGTCATATAAAATTTATATTAAATTTTTATGCCTTTCTCCTACTAACCTATCTTATGTCAATTTAATTCTCAGGCCCAGCCAAAGACCCTAAGAGAGTAAAGGGAAAGTTTTGCCTCCACTACACATTCACAAATTCAGGCCCACTCAAATTAACTGGCTGTTATTCAGTTCTAATCCCTAATTCCTAGTGGAGAGAATCTGAATGGCCTGAAGTTAAGTGTTCCCCCTGGTTCAGTCATTTATGGCTACAGAAGTGGGGTCATCCAGTATAATTCTGGCTACTTCTGTGCATGAGGCAGGGGAGGAAATCATTGGCTGTGAGCTGAGCTCACACTTTGAAAGGAGTCCATTCAAACTCTTGCAGTGCTTGATCACTTCTCTCTATCACAGGATACCTTCTATCTCTTACAGTAAAGCAGAGATCAAGAACGTAATTTGTTCCTGACCTATCAAATTGGCAAAAACCCAGATGCCAATACACACTGATGGTGAGGCTGAGAAGAAATAGTCACTCATGCATTAGTGACAGGAGTGCCAAAGGTACAAGCCCCATGTCAAACCTACAAAATATTCAGGTGCATTAATCCTCTAAGCTAGAAATTCCACTTCTTGGAATCTACTCAACAGGAATCAAGAGAAATGGCCAAGGAGTATAGAAGTTTTCAGTCCCTATACTTTTAAAAGAAAATCATAGACAAATAATGATACCTTATTGCATTATCAAAAAACAAAAAGCCACCCATGATCCTTGTCCCTTACACTCCATTAATTAAATGCAGCCAGTCTTGCAACACATATGCTCTTATATACCATATACCATAGAAAAACTCCATTCAATTTTTAGAACTTTTAATTTGCAAGTAGCATTTTATAGGTGACTGCTGCTGTTTCATACTGTAAGGAAAGTCTGCCCTATATAATGTTGATGTGACATAGAGGGAAATTGCTCCAAAAATATCTAGTCCCACTGATGTGTGGTATTGGGGACTGCATTAGTTACCTCTCTCTGCATGACAGCTTTTAGAGCAGCTAACATGAAAATGCTTCATCTAAGTGATAAGCAAATCATATGGAAATATTTTACAGCCAATGTATTTCATGCACATTGAATCCTGGAGAAAATCCAAGTAGAGCATGGTTTTAAGTCAATCATTTACCCTCTCTTTTTTCTCTGTAGTACATCTCTTCACATATTAAAGACTTGAAGAGTGAAATGTTTGAGGAACTCCTTAAGCACCTTTGCCACTCTGCAGATGAATTCCGGAAGATCATAAAAGCTGACATCCAGAGGCAGATGTTCGCTGAACTTTTCCTACATTGTGACCACGGGAAGGTGGGTTAAGACATTTAAAGAATTGCTTCTTGGCTGGGTTCTGTGGCTCACACTTGTAATCCCAGCACTTTAGGAGGCTGAGGCTGGTGGATTGCTTGAGCCCAGGAGTTTGAGACCAGCCTGGACAATATGGTGAAACCTCATCTCTACAAAATAGATACAAACTTTACTGAAATATATTTTTTTATGAACCTTATACTTGCTTGTTTGTATCTCCATGTCCAGAAAGGATATAAGGAAGCTCACAGAATAGATAAAATGCAACAACAAAATGTAAACTAAAAGTAGGATGAAAGAAGAAAAATGTAAGAGAGGGGTTAGTAAATGAAGCTTGGGACAAAGCCCCAAAATACATAGCATAATGACCTAAATATTTGTTGTGGGTTGTTTACAAGTTTGGATCTAAGCTTCCTAGTAGGATCTAATGTGAAAAGGGAAACACGACCAAACACGTTATCAACAATGTTTACAAGATAATTACAAACTAGTGCTAAGAAGTACAGAAATTTGGTGTTCAAATTAGTTAGGAGTGTCTCTTTATTAAAGGGGCCCTTTTGTGCTGAAGTGAAAATCTTTTATGATGGGCTTGTAATAGATTAAACAGTGACAACTTTTTTAGGGCAGTTTCTTATAGCTATTTTAAATGTAGGCAAACAATGCCACACTGGACTGCAATTCAGAAAAAGCAATTCTTAAAAGAACCAGAATGTTGCAATCTACGTTCTCAGATCTATGCTAATTTGAATGAAGTCAGGAATATATTTTGTAAAATCTGAAATGTCTGTGTGTCTTTCAGCCAATCCTTATTGAATATTGCTTCTTTTAACAGAGCTTTTAGTAAACACTGGGTAACATAGGTGTCAAAATTTTACTCCTGGGTAAAATGCCTGAAGGACAACTATTCTCTGTTGGCCAATTTAACACCAATTCATGTGCTGTAACAAACATAGTGAGATAATATTTAGAGAAATTAGCTAAGGTTTGCTTTCATTCTTTGCTTTTCTTCCCATCATTCAAGCAATAGTTATGTGCTGATATTGAAAGTGCAGGGGTGGAAAAACTACACCTCCTTCCTCATAGGATTCCTGCTGGGTCTGAGCATTAATCTGACATAAGATAAAATAACAGGAGAAAAACATACAAATTTAGTTACAAGTTTTATATGGCACAGGAGTCCTCTTCAGAGAATGAAGACCCAAAGAGGCAGTTAGAGTCAGTTACTTATGTACTGGATTGGACAAAGAATACCAAAATGTGAAAATGTGACTAAATTATGTCGGGAGTCTTAAAAGATAAGAGTTATTCTAACAAGGTCTGTACAGTATTCTGTTGGTCTCAACTTCTCATCCTTGAAGATAACAATTATGCCTTTCCTTATAGTATAGGGAGAGTTAATTTCACACGGGAATTTCATCTTCTGCTTTGAAGAAACAGCACGAAGGTCAAGTGATTTTCTCATATCTGTTGCTTTTCAAGTGTCTTTAACTTAAATAGTCAATATGTCAGAATAGCATATTTTAACCCCTTCAGAGGGAAGATAGAGTCTGCAAAAAAGAAGTTAGATGCGTTTCTGAATGGAATATATATCTGGGAACAAAGCTCAAAAATGCATAGCATAATAACATTTATGAGAGAGAGAGATCCTCACTGTATCACCCAGGCTAGAATGAAGCAGCATGATCATAGCTCGCTACAGCCTCTACCTCCTGGGTTCAAGTGATCCTCCCACCTCAGGCTCCCGAATAGTTAGGACTCCAAGCATATACCACCATGCCTGGCTAATTTTTAAACTTTTGTAGAAACAGAGTCTCACTATGTTGCCCAGGCTGTTCTTGAAGTCCTGGTGCAAGAGATCTTCCCACCTTGGCCTCCCAAAGCCCTGGGATTACAAGCGTGAGCCACCACATCCAGCCGTGATTGTATATTTTTAACCAGTAGCTGAAATAAAAGTTCTAGAAGCCCAGACTTTAGATTGAAAATGCTGGGCCCTTAAGAAACAATGGAGAATCATAAAGTAAGGAAGAATGCAAAATATGGCATCAAAGCAGTTATTCTGTCAATGGGAAATTGTGACCAGCTGATGAGAGAAGGAGGTTGGAGTGCATGTGACTAGAGTTTAGAGGTTGTCTGGGTCCCTAAGTCAAGGTTAGCACCTGATCTCCCATTTCTGAGCTCCAATCATGGTTGAAGATTGAGGGCAACATTATTGACACCTCTTGAAATCCCAGGTAGATTGAGAGGAAATTTAAAAACAGCAGGAACTTGCATTTCATTTTCTAGGTATAGCTCAGAGACTACAAGCTTCATAGAGAAGTCCTAAATCCTACATGGCACTGAAGAGGAAGAATAGTAGCTGTAGAAGGCAGGATCTAGGTAGATGGACCTGATGGTACTCCCTTTCACTTCTGTGGCCAGAGGAAAGGTGATGAGTATTCCTAAATACCTGTGTGTAAAGGACAGTGGATGTGCGGAGATGAGGACTATGAAAGTTCTGATAGTACCCCAGGAAGACACCTGGGTTAGAATAAGGAGAATTAAGAACATAAAAAGCAAATACCAAAATAAAACTTCCAGATGACCCAATGAGATGAACTATATACACCACAGTCAGAGTCAACAAGTATTGTGGCACTGAGCTAGACTTTCCTTTCTCTGACGGCAGGACTCTATATAAGCAACACCACTCCCCAAAATGTGGGCAAAGATATGAATACCCAATTCATGAAATCATTATATATTCATTCAATAGGTGACCAAAAATAGTTTTTAATGATAATACCTATCGCTGATACAAATAGAGGAAAAACGTTTCGCAAACATTCCTGGTGAAAATTTAATAGTTGTATTTTTGCAAAGCATTCTGGATATTTCTGCTTAAATAAAAAATACATACATGCTTCAGCCAGGCAAGCCATTCCTAAAATTGTTATTCCATAGAAATAAAAGCACCAGTAAATTTAAAAGTACACATATAAAGAAAATTCTTGTTGCATTGTTTATAAATGAAGAAAAAGAGAGAGGTTAATGAAATACTATATAGAGGAATGCTTTAAAAATAATAGTACACCAATATCTTGAGATATCATGTAGCCTTTTTTTTTTTTTTGGAGACAAGTCTCACTCTGTCACCCAGGTTGCAGTGCAGTGGCACCATCTCAGCTCACTGCAACCTCTACCTCCCAGGTTCAAGCGATCCTCCTGCCTCAACCTCCCGAGTGAATGGTGTTACAGGCGTGAGGCACCGCCCCGGCTAATTTTTGTATTTTTAGTAGAAAAGGGATTTCTACCTGTAGCTAGGACTACAGGTACATACCACCATGCAGGTCTAATTTTTTATTTTTTTGTAGAGACAGTAACTCACTGCGTTACCCAGGCTGCTCTTGAACTCTTGAGCTCAAGTGATTCTCCCTCCTCGGCCTCCCAAAGTGGGGGAATTACAGGCATGAACCACTATACTTGGCTTGTACCACATTTTCTTTATACAGTCTACCATTGATTCACATTTAGGTTGTTTCCATGTCTTTGCTATTGTGAATAGTGCTGCAATGAACATATGCGTGCATGTGCCTTTATGTTAGAACAATTTCTGTTCCTTTGGTTATATACCCAATAATAATAGGATTGCTGGGTCAAATGGTAATTCTGCTTTGGGTTCTTTGAGAAATCACCAAACAGCTTTCACAATGGCTGAACTAATTTACATTCTACCAACTGTGTATAAGCATTCCCTTTCCTCTGCAGCCTTGCCAGCATCTGTTATTTTTTGACTTTTTAATAATAGCCATTCTGACTGGTGTGAGATGTATCTCATTGTGGTTTTGATTTGCATTTCTCTAATGATTATCAATGTTGAACATTTTGCTATATGTTTGTTGGCTGCGCGTATGTCTTCTACCTTTTTTTCTGAGATAGATCTCACTCTGTCATTCAGGCTGGAGTGCAGTAGCAACATCACAGTTCATTGCAGCCTCAACCTCTTGAGGGTTTGAGTGATCCTCTTATTACAGCCTCCCAAATAGGTGGGATTATAAGCCATGCCACCAGGCCCAGATAATTTTTGTAGAGATTGGGTTTCACCATGTTGTCCAAGCTAGTCTGGAATTCTTGGGTTCAAGCGATCTGCCAGGCCTCCCAAAGTGCAGTGATTACAGGTGTGAGCCACCGTACCTGGCCTTGTACGTCTTTATTATGAAAAGTGTATATTCAGGTTGGGTGTAAACAGAGTAAACAGACAAGCTACAGAATGAGAGATGGTTTATTTTGCTGTGCAGGAGCTTATTAGTATTATTTCAAGAAGGAGTTTCACCATGTTGATCAGGCTGGTCTTGAACTCCCGACCTCAGGTGATTCACCCGCCTCGGCCTCCCAAAGAGCTTATTTTTAAAATAAAGTTATATTAATTAAAATAGCTTTGGCTTTGGTACTGGAATAGACAAATCAGTGGAACAGAATATTAGATTTGGCATCAGATGCAAGAGCATGTGAGAATTTAGTACATAACACAGGTGGCAGTATAAATCATTGGGAAAAGGAGTAATCGATGAGTTATACTAGGACAAAAATTATATAAAAATGTAATTTTTCCATATTGGGAAAATTATAAAAGTAGATTCCACTCTCATTAATGAGGAAAAGTGAGTTCTCATTATAAATCTAGATGTGGAAAACAAAATTTAAAAAATTTTAGAAGCAGCCAGGTGTGGTGGCTCATACCTGTAATCCCAGTGACTCAGGAGGCTGAGGCAGGAGGATGGCTTGAGTCCAGGAATTCAAGGATGCAATGAGCTATGATCATGCCACTGCACTCCAGTTTGGGTGACAGAGTGAGACCCAGTCTCCAAAAAATAAAAAATAAAAAATAAATAAGAAGCCAATTTAGAGCATATATTTTGAACTCAAAATGGTTTGTGCTTATCTGGAGTATTCCTTAGGAGTATTCCTTAGTAAGACCTTGTCTAAAAAAGCTTTAGAAGCAGACAGGCATGGTGACTCACACCTGGCTGCTTCTAAAATATATTAAATTTTGTTTTCCACATCTAGGTTTCTGATCAGCTAGAATCCACTTTTCCTCATTATGAGGGTGGGATCTACTTTTATGTTTTTCCCAATATGAAAAATTAATTGTTCCAGTATCATTCATTGGTTAGTCACTGTATATCAAAAGGAAATGATTTATATATTTGACTACCTCAAAATTAATATATATCCTCAAAATTAATGGATAACATTGATATGGCTAAACTCACCAGAAGTTAAATTGAAAGATAAGAGATAAACTGGGGAAAAATATTTGTTATGTAAATAAAAGAATGGTCATTCTCAAAATTTTACACATTTGTAAGAAATAAACAACTGGGCCAAGTGTGGGGGCTCACACCTGTAATCCCAGCACTTTAGGAGGCTGAGGCAGGTGGATCATGAGATCAGGAGATTGAGACCATCCTAGCTAACATGGTGAAACCCCGTCTCTACTAAAAACACAAAAAATTAGCCGGGCGTGGTGGCGGGTACCTGTAGTCCCAGCTAGTTTGGAGGCTGAGGCAGGCAAATTGCTTGAACCTGGGAGGCAGAGGTTGCAGTGAGCCAAGATCATGCCACTGCACTCCAGCCTGGGAGACAGACCAAGACTCCATCTCAAATAAATAAATAAATAAATAAATAAATAGACAACTGGTCCCAACTGAAAAATGGGAAAAGGATATGAATAACCCATTCGTAGAAGAGGAAAAACTCAAATATGTAAGTGTATGAAAATATATTAAATCTCACTAGTAATCAGGGAAATGCAAATTAAAATAATGATACCATTTTTATCTATCAGATTAGAAAAAATAATAAACTCTAACAATATCAAGTATTGGTGTAGATATCGAGAAATAATACTCTCATTCAATGCTGGCGAGAATGTAAATTGGTATGAACATTTTGTGACACAATTTGGCTATAACTAATAAAGTTGAAAATGTATACATTATATAATCCAGTAATTCTACTTCTAGTTATTAACCCTAGAGAAATGTTTGCACATGTACACAAGGAGATGTGCATAAGGATATCCATTGCAGCATTATGTTGATATCAAAATGTTAAAAATAATCGAACTGCCCATCAATAGAGGAGTTGTTTTTTTTAATTATGGCGTTTTCATATTACAGAATGCCTTATTGCAGTTAAAAAGAATAAAATATATTTCTTTACATACATGAATTAAATCTCAATTTTGAGTAAATAAAATCAATTTGAAGAAAGACATACGTACTATATCAGGTATTTTTGTTTTTGTTTTTGAGACAAGGTCTTGCTCTGTCAGCCAGGCTGGAGTGCAGTGGCATGATCATAGCTCACTGCAAATCAAGTGATCCTCCGGCCCCAGCCTCTGGAGTAGCTAGGACTACAGGTGTGCACCACCATGCCAGGCTAATTTTTTATTTTTTGAAGCAATGGGGTCTCACTGTGTTGCTATATCAGACTTTTTAAAGCACATACGCAAAATGTTAACAATCATTATTTCTGGGTATTGGGAACACAATGTTAATTTTATCATTTTCTCTATTTTTCTATAATTAGAATTTTTTTCAAAAATAACAATTGAAAAAGAACAAGTAGGGAGCATTAACTGTTTCAAGTGACATACTCAGGTCAGGTAATATAAGAACAATCCAATATAATTATACATTGGATTTAGCCATCAATAAGTGAGTCATAAATATTTCTTAAACATTTACTAAGTAGAGGTCATTTTGACATGTCACAGGATGGGAAAGTAGAGAATAAGCCTAAAGGCAAGATATAACTTTCCTGATATTGATGCTGCAGCTTTTATTTACATAATAATGATTATTGTGGTGGTAGTAATGACAAAAGCTTCAATAAGCCACATTCCAACTGCATAAAAATCTTAAATCTCCTGTAACAGTGCTGCAATGAACATTCGTGTGCATGGGTCCTTATAATAGTACGATTTATAATCCTATAGCTATATATAATAGTATGATATATACCCAGTAATGGGATTGCTGGGTCAAATAGAATTTCTATTTCTAAGTCCTTGAGGAATTGCCACAACGGTTGAACTAACTTATACTTCCACCAACAGTGTGAAAGTGTTCCTATTTCTCCACATCCTCTCCAGCATCTGTTGTCTCCGGATCTTTTAATGATCACCATTCTAACTGGCGTGAGATGGTATCTCAATGTAATTTTGATTTGCATTTTTCTAATGACCAGTGATGACGAGCCTTTTTTCATATGTTTGTTGGCTTCATATATGATATGTCTTATTTTGAAAAGTGTCTGTTCATATCCTTCCCCCACTTTTGAATGGGTTTGTTTGTTTTTTTCTTGTAAATCTGTTTTAGTTCTTTGTAAATTCTGGATATTAGCCCTTTGTCAGATGAGTAGATTGCAAAACTTTTTCAAAGACTTGGAACCAACCCAAATGCCCATCGATGATAGACTGGAAAGGGAAAATGTGGCACATATACACCATGGAATACTATGCAGCCATAAAAAGTGATGAGTTCGTGTCCTTTGTAGGGACATGGATGAACCTGGAAACCATCATTCTCAGCAAACTAACACAAGAACAGAAAATCAAACACCACATGTTCTTACTCATAGGAGAGTGTTGAGCAATGAGAACACATGGACACAGGGAGGGAAGCATCACACACTGAGGTCTGTGGGGGCGAGCTAGGGAAGGGACAGCGTGGGGTGGGGAGTTGGGGAGGGATAACATGGGGAAAAATGCCAGATATAGGTCATGGAGAGGAAGGCAGCAAAGCACATTGCCATTTATGTACCTATGCAACAATCCTGCGTGTTCTTCACATGTACCCCAAAACCTAAAATGCAATAAAATATATTTTAAAAAAGGAAAAAGGGAAAAAAATCTCCTGTAACAACTAATCACAAACTTTCTCCTTTGTTTAGGTAGGGTTTTTGGATCGGCAGAGAACATTGGCCCTGCTGGAATCATTCTATGACCATAGTTCACAAATGCTTAGGAGTTTACTTCGAAACCCACGACAATGTAAGTGCCATTCAGAATGTATTCAAGCTGGAGTGTCTCAGTACACTGATATGTACTGATATGATAACACAAGACCATTCTACCACCATGGAATCCCTTCACATAATAGCTCTCTTAAATCATGATAACGATATCTAGGTGTTTATTCCCCTCACAAAATTCACTCTTCATCGCAACTAGATGTATTTTTCCCCATAGTGCAATACTCAAAATTTTTATGTCAGAACTTAGCTAGAACTCAATTTTAAATTCATTGAAATGAACAATTGCTTTAGTGACAATCTGAATGTTTTAGAAATTAAGTTAGTAATGGTAATTCCATTTTATTTATTAAAAAAATTTTATTTGAGATAAGAGTCTTACTCTTCTTGCCCAGGCTGGAGTGCAGTAGCATGATTATGACTCACTGTAGCCTCAACCTCCCAGATAGGAGATGATTCTCCCACCTCAGCCACCTGAGTAGCTGGGACTACAGGTGTGCACCATCATGCCCAGCTAATTTTGTGTATTTTTTAATAGAGAGAGGGTTTCACCATGTTGCCCAGGGTAGTCTCAAATGCCTGGGTACTGGGATTATAGGTATAAGCCACTGCACCCAGCCTGGTAATTCCATTTTAATGCCCAACTTGAAATTATAAGATTTATATGAACAATATTTCCTTTTCCCAAGCATTTTACTTATACATCTTCACTTATATAGTAAAATATCCTTTTGATGTTATTTCCAAAACAAATAGAATTTGGGGGTTTATTTTCATTTTATTTTACTTTTTCAGAGATGGGGTCTTGCTATGTTGCCCAGGCTAGCTTCAAACTCCTGGGATTCAGCAGTCCTCCTGCCTCAGCCTCCCAAGTAAGCCAGGACTACAGGCTGTGCTTAGCTTAATTTTCATTTTTCTAAAGAGAAGGTATTTTACTGGCTGAGTTTTCCAAAGAATGTCAATTTTTTTTTTTTTTTTTTTTGAGATGGAATCTCACTCTTGCCCAGGCTGGAGTGCAATGGTGCGATCTCAGCTCACTGCAACCTCCACCTCCCAGGTTCAAGCTATTCTCCCTGCCTCAGCCTCTCAAGTAGCTGGGATTACAGGCACCTGCCACTACACCCAGCTAATTTTTTGTATTTTTAGTACAGCTGGGGTTTCGCCATGTTGGCCATCCTGGTCTCAAACTCCTGACCTCAGGCGATTTGCCCACGTTGGTCTCCCAAACTGCTGAGATTACAGGCGTGAGCCACCATACCGGGCCAAGAATGTCAATACTTTATTTCTGTGTGAAGATTTATTACTTGGATACATACAAATCTGTGAGTGATATACTTGGAGTATTTCTAAAAATTGTGAAAATCACAATTTTATAGCTTACCAGTACTGTTTTGGGGGAAATGGGGACAGTCTTGTGGCGTGAGTTTCACTCTTTATAGTACGGACACCAGGGTTTTACTGTTGTTGTTTAACAGTGAGATTCTGTGAATACTATCCAGTCTTTTCCTAGTATTCTGTTCCAGGTGTCCACATAAGTTGTAGAGGAAAATAATTGAGAAATGAAAAACAAAGAAGAGGGCAAGAGAAAAGGGGGAAAAATGAATGTTGGAAAAACAGCCTCAGTGAAAGATTGTCATGGATAAAGACTTGCGTTTTATATTGGAGATATTGAAAAGGTATTTGAGATTAAAGATGTGTCCCCTTTCCCGTCCCTATGTGATGCTTATTGTGGGAGGACCACGAAGGTGGAGGACAAATTCTATTTACCTTGGCAGTCTAAGCAACACCCCAAGTAGCAAAAGGAGATCCTATTTATTTCCAAAATCACACCTTTTAGGAAGGGATGATTTCTAACTTATAGTAGTAAACATTTTTTATGTTCTTTTAGGTACCTTTTTACTTTTTATTGTGTTGCAACTAAAGGTAACTGATATTTATTTAGAACAATAGGCCTATATTACAATCACTGTGCTCAATGCTTTTCTTTGCATTAATTTAATAGCTCTAATTCTGCCTTATAAGATCAACAGTTTAGGGGTATGTTTTGTTTTCTGTATTAGGGCCATTCATTGAATTTGAAGAGATGAACTTATCTGAGTTGTGGGGAGACATGGATAATCAGAAACACATTTATGAAGGCTTTGACAAAGTGCTCTTAGAGACGAATACATTACTTTCTGCAAAACATTCTAGCAAAACCCAAAGTAAATTATTAGAAAGTCCAGATCAACCTAAACTCGATGAACAGAGAACATCAACACTACCTGCAAACCTGCCAGAAGAGCAGAAACGAGTAACTGCAGAACAAGGACCACAAAAAATTTCAACTGAAGAACAAGAACAAGGCAAAAAGCCAACTGCAGAACAAGAACCGTACATCGAATCAGTAACACAACCAGGAACCCACACGGAGTCAACTCTAGAACAAGGGTCAAGTAGAGAGTTAATAATAGAACAAGAAACACACAGAGTGCCATCTACAGAACAAGGACAGCACAAAGGTTCAATAGTAGGACAAGGACCACACAGAGTTTCAGTTTCAGAACAAAGACCAAGCAGAGAGTCAACTGCAGAACAAGGGTTACGCAGAGGATCAGTTGCAGAACAGGGGTCACGCAGAGAGTCTATTGCAGAACAAGTTCAACGCAAAGGGTCAGTAGCAGAACAGGGATCACGCAGAATGTCAACTGCAGAACAGGAATCACTCAGAGAGTCAATAATAGAAGAACCATACCAAAAATCAGAACGAGGACCGTATGGAGAGATAATTTCAGAAGAGCAAGAAGACATAGGCTCAACTTCACAATCAAGAAAAGATAGTATGTTAAAAAGTGCAAAATCTGGGGAGCCCATACCCTCTGAGCACATTGAAGTCCCTCTAAAGGAAAAGAGGTCTTGGGAACAAATACATGAAGAGCAAATATTCCTGAGTTCTGAACTGCAAGAGGAAGTTCCAACATCAAGTAGGAATGATCACTTTTCAGGTAGTAATGCAGTTCTTCTACAACATCAGGTCCGTTTTGTGGAATGGTTTTTAAAGTCTTTTCGGAAAATACTCATTTAAGTCAGAATTTTTTCTGGCAATCAGGTTATGCAAATCTCAGGCATATTTTGCTGCTCAACTTGAGTCTAGACCTTGAACAGAAAGCAAGTAAGTTAATTACATTCACCAGTGAAATGCAAACCAGAATGTCTCTATTGTCAATTTATGTATAATTTCCATCACACTAGATTATAGAAGAAGTGTTTTAATTGGGTTTCTGAAAAGGTAGTAGAAGACCTTTTGTTTTAAATATGGTGTGTGATATAAGAAACCACTTTAAAATTTTTCTTTTATTTCAACTGTAAAATGGGTCTTGCTTTGTTCAGTTAAATATAAAATATATGTTCTAAAGGAGTCTCTGAAAGTCATATTTAAGACAGAATGCATCCTGCATTTCAAATATTTATTATCACATCTTTGGCCAGAATTTAGGCATACAGTAGTCCCCCCTCATCCATGGTTTTGCTTTCCACAGTTTCAGTTAACCACAATCAACCATGGTCAGAAACTATTACGTGGAAAATTCCGGAAATAAACAATTTATACATTTTTAATTGTGCATCAGTCTGAGTAGTGTAATGAAATCTTGCACCTTTTGTTCAGTATATCCATGTTGTCTATGTTACCTGCTCATTAGTCACTTAATAGCTGCTAGATTAAGTGACTAATGAGCAGGTAACGTAGATTGTCATGATACTACAGTACTCTTGTTCAAGTAACCCTTATTCTACCTAATAATGGCTCCAATCACAAGAGTAATAATGCTGACAATTTGGATATGCCAAAGAGAAGCTGTAAAGTACTACCTTTGAAGTGAAAAGGTGAGCGTTCTCGGCTGGACACAATGGCTCATGCCTGTAATCCCAACACTTTGAGAGGCTGAGGCAGGTGGATGGCTTGTGCCCAGAAGTTCAAAACCAGCCTGGGGAACATGGCGAAATGCTGTCTCAAAAAAAAAAAAAAAAGTTGGGCATGGTGGCATGCACCTGTAGTCTCAGCTACCCAGGAGGCTGAGGTAGGAGGGTCACCTGAGCCTCAGGAGGTTGATCCTGCAATAAGCCTTGATCACACCACTGCACTCCATTCAGCCTAATCAAAAAAGTGAGACCCTATTAGAAAGGAAGGAAGGAAGGAAGGAAGGAAGGAAGGAAGGAAGGAAGGAAGGAGGGAAGGAGGGAAGGAGGGAAGGAGGGAAGGAGGGAAGGAGGGAAGGAAGGAAGGAAAGGAGGGAGGGAGGGAGGGAATAAAAGATAAAAGTTCTCAACTTAGTAAGGAAAGAAAGAAAATTGTATGCTGAGGTTGTTAAGATTTACAGTAAGAACAAATCTTTTACTCATTAAATTGTGCAGAAGGAAAAAGAAATTCATGGCTAGTTTTTCTGTCACACTTCAAACTGCAAAAGTATAGGTACTCTCTGCAGTTTCAGACATTTGTTAGGGATGTTGGAACATATCCTCCCAAGGATAAAAAGAAGACTACTGCATAGTAATAACTAGCTGTGAGGGAGGCTGGGAAATGTAGCCCTCATTTTGTATGGCCAAACTGGATACAATAAATAGCTTTTGCTACAGAGATGCTTTCAACAATTCAAGTTATTAAGTGATTTCACTGTAGTAGATATGACACAGCATATATGGGAAAGTACTTACAGTTTTTGGTGTTCTATATGCAGGCATTTCTACCACTTATTAACCTTAGAATAGCTAATGGAATGTGTAATGTCTAATTCATAAGCATTTTCATTTGTACCTTTTAGAAACTACAAAAAAGGAAGTTCAGAAAGACGAGTCCTGTGAACCCAGGTCCCAAAACATAGAAGGAAAGTCATGGTCAGGTAACTCCTCATTTAATCTTCCTTTCATTTATACCCTAGAACAAAAATATCGTGAAAGTGAAGTTTGATTGGCTATACCATGGATTGTGTTTTTACAGGTGAATTTTTTACTTGTAACTGGAAAACAAAGTATGTAAAATTTGAAGATGAGGAACAGGCAAACTTAATCTATGGTAACTCCAGGTTCACAGGTATATGTTAACAATGAAAGTACGAAGAATAGAAGGCAGTCCAATAGATGGATTTAATTTACTGTGGTACTCAATGATAAAGACAGAATTTAGCTAAGACAGAATGGGAAGGTGTTCCTGTCATTATTTTTTCCTTGAGCTGATGAATCTAAATATATACCAGATAGATGTATTTGGTGGTGGTGTACTATTGATGGTGGCATGTGCTATTGATGAATGCTCTTCTGCTTTAAAACTTATGGAATTAGTACACAGTTTTTAACCATGATATGGCCCTGCACCTGCTTTAAAACTATGATCTAAGCATACAGAGGGAATCAGATATTAGATACTAAAACTCAGTAGAAATCATTTCAGCTATTCCTTTCCCTGGTAGTGCCACATCTAAGCATTTGAGACAAGTGATAATATATCTTGTTTTTGAGGACTTGCAAAGAAAGGTCTATTCAACAGAGTGGAGTGGTTTTTGGCTTTCAGACAAACGATGTCTTTAACAATGATTGTTCCAAAAAGTACCCATATTTCACTAAAAAACTATTATATTGTTTTGCCTTTCACATCAAGTTGTAGAACTAACTAGATCAAGATTATTTTCTTCCTACCCGCAAATTTTTCTCTCATTTAAGCCTCAAATAACAAACTTTCTATCCTCAAAATTTCTGGTGAAAATGCATGGCATTGGTCAAGCTCTTGTGGCCTGCTAGTTCATGTTCATCTTCTTAGCCATCTTTATGTCAATTTTGCTTTACTAATGTACGTAAAAATTGTTTGAGTAATCATTTTTTTAAGTCACATCAAATCTCAAATAGAAAGTATAAGGGCATGAATGTTTGAATCAATGAATAAATCAAATGGAAGTCACTTTGCTGTCATTTTATGAAATATATTTCATATTATAATATTGAGCTAAATGGTAAATATATTAGTCAAGATTCTTGGAGGGAGGGGTTGTGGTGGTGGTATTTAGTAATTTATTTAACTAGAAAGTTCAGAGCGCAGCTTTTTTCAGGCACAACTAGATTCAAAGGCTCAGCAATAGCAGCAGGATACTATCTGTCTGCCTCTGAGCCCTGTTTTTCTGTGTCACTTTCAACTTGAGACAGTTTTCTCCACGTTGTGACAAAAATGGTCATGAAAGCATCTCTAACCTTATATTCTATTAATTCAGCAATAAGAGTACAAAAAGAATGATTCATCCCTAATAGTTCTTCCAGAAGTTCTGAGGCTAATTCTTGTTGGCCTATAGTAGATTACATTGCTATCATATGTGAATTGTTAGCCAGACCTATATCGCATGACCATCCATGCACAAAAGTGGAGGGGGGCTTAGTATGACCTGACTCATCTGAACTGACAGTGGAGAGATGTTTTTCCAAAGAAAAAAGGAGGATGTTGTCCTCATGAAGGGAGCATGGATTCCTGATAGGCAAAAATAGTAGATATTTATTATAATAGGCACTCATTTATTTTCCCTAATGGAAAGAATTGTTCACTTTTCTGCTTGGTATATATTTCCTGCTTGACAGATTTACACTCAATTATCAGAAACATTCAGTCTTTCAAGGAGGTAAAAGGCCGAACTGCCTTCAATGGAGTTTCATTCAATCTGCTCCAGTTTGTGCAACTCCTGGAGACATTTGTTGGTGAAGATGCTCCCTTGAGTATTAGTGAGACTCTGGCCACCTTTTTTAAGGGGGGCTATGTTGAAACAGAACAAGAGAAAATGAATGCCTTAGAAAAGGTGGGTAATATAAGTAAATCTCTCAACCTCAGTTGCTCCTGATGTGACTCATGTAAAAAATTTGCAACCAAACTTACCACTTTATTTCAACAAGCTTGGCCATTAAATATTCTATTTTATCATCAAATGTTCTAAGATCACACTCCAGAGAACTCATTCCCCTGATAATAACATGATTGCTCCTGGCAGGATATGGCTTATTTTATAGCTTTCTTCTTTCTCTGAAGGTTGAGAAGCAGATACGGATATGTGCAAAGATGTGTGTGTGTGCATTATTTGCCTGTGTGTGAGTGCCTTTATGGTATGACCATACCTGAGGTATGATTATGGCCTGAGCATATGTTTTGACTCATAAGCACCCAGGTAGTATATATTTCCTAAGAACTTACTACTTACTTGGTTGACAGGTAAATACATACACATTAGCTTATATAAACAATATATTCTCTCTTATATGAAATATGTAAGTTAAATATGTAAGCTTATTCAGTAATCATCAGCTTTATGAGTCTTCTCAACCTAATTCTAGACAATTCTCTTTTACTTTCTCAATTGCAGTTCCTCCTACTTAAACAGTATATATTCCTTTTATTTTTGCAATTAAATCTATCTAGATATTAATTCAATTACTATCTCACTAATATAATTAACCTAGTGAAAACTCTAAAAGGTAAATAAAATTAATGTCAAATTTAGTCAGTCTTAAACATAAAAAAGGAATTTTTAAAACACAGTCATTTTCCTTATTTAAATACCGTCATTCATTCCCCTTCACCAAAAACATATCCTTTGAGGCAGGGTGCAGTGGCTTATGCTTGTAATTCCAGTGCTTTGGGAGGCTAACGAGGGAAAATCCCTTGGGCTCAGGAATTTAAAGTTACAGTGAACTGTAATTATGCCACTCTTCCATCCTGGGTGACAGAGCAAAACTGTCTCTTAATAAAAATAATAATAATTTTAAAATCTCACTAAGAAGTCAGGCAGAGCACTCTATGTATTTATCACATTCCTGAACAACTAGAGAAGGAGTGGAAAAGAATGGTCAAAGATTCTTAAGGTTTGTAGAAGAAATTTGCCAAAAAAAAAAAAAAAAAAGATTCTTAAGGAATACTAATGCAGAGAATGCCTGTTGTTTTTTTTCATCAAAGCCAGTCAAGTTTAGCAGTGGAAGGTTGTTTACCAACTTTAGCGACACTAATGTTAATAAGTTCTGATAACCAAAAATGCCTGTTTTGTTTTGTTTTGTTTGGCTTAAATGTAAAACAGAAATGCTATTTAAGGGATTAAAAATAATCACAGTATTTTCTTTTCTAAAAAAATTTAAATTTTTTTTTTTTAAAGACAAAAGTCTCGGTATGCTGCCCAGGCTTGTTTCCAACTCCCGGCCTCAAGCGATACTCCTGCCTCAGCCTCCTGAGTGGCTGGCTTTACAGGCATGTGCCACGGCTGAATCATTGCATTTTCCATTAATATCATGCTTAGCCCCAAAGTAAACCTGTTCTAATAAAAGATGATGGACCTTTTTTGGAATGAACACAGGATGCTAGCTAGCACAATGAACATGTGTCTTCTGTGCTTTATTATCCTGTTTGTACCCTAGTTTAGACAAAATGCTCTCCAAGTCCGACGGAGGCTTCTCCTAGATGCCATCTTTCAGAAATGGGACAGTGATGCCTCAGGCTTCCTGGATCTGATGGAAGTTGATGAACTCTTGTACACGTACAAGGAGGGAATGGAAAAAGAATCTATGAAGAAAGGTAAAATATAATAATATTCTTATTTAAACTGTGGTAATAACTTGACTTCAAGCGTCCCAGTACACATATACAGTTAAAACGCTGGTTATGCTAAAACCACAAGATAACCCTTCATGTCTGCTAGTATAGCTATAAATTTATGTTATTTATTTTTAATTTTTTATAATAGAGATGAGGGTCTCATTGTGCTGCCCAGGCTGGACTCTAATTCCTGGGCTCCAGTGATCCTCCTGCCTCAGCCCCCTGAGCAGCTGTGACTACAGGCACCTGCTACTGTACGCAACTCTGGCTATAATCTTTTAAGTGGAAAATAACAAGTGCTGGCAAGGATGTGAAAATATTAGACGACTTGTGCATTTGTCAACACAATCAGAAGTGGAATATGTTGCAGAATGCTTTGTCCAACATCTTAAATCTATAGATTCCTTCTATATACTTGGCTACCTTCACTTTTAAGGTTAAAAGAATCCAAGCCAGTCCACAGTTCTGCTTGTTCTCTCTTCTTGTTTTATCTCTTTGTCTTCACTGGCTTGCAAATTTCTCTTCAATTTACTAACTTCTTATTCTCCTTAGTGACTTTTTATGTATTATATTTTTCTCTTATGATCAATATTTACCAGTCAAAAGCTACGAAAATTCTCATTCCAGTATAATACATTCCTTTCTTCACTTTATCAGATCTTAGTTTAAATTATTTTTCTTGTCACTGGGTTTAAAGATTTATCTGGTTAACTTTGGTATACCAGATTTTTAGTTTTTAAAGTATGTAATGCACAAGGGAAAGAGTTGTCAAGGTTAGTTAAGTTCTTCAGCCCTCTAAAAAATTATTGTATTGGTTGAGCTTCAAATGTACCTAAGTTTATTGATTGTTATCTCTTCAGTAACTATGTCTTCTACAAACTTTACATTATACTACCTGGCTTTTCTTAGAATACATCCAGATAATTTAGTTAATGAAATTCCAAAAGGCATAATGATGTGATTTTCACTTACAATGTGGGCAAATTTGTAACACAGAACCACATCCTACAGAGAACACTAGACAATAGTTAGAGCAGCTGGGTTCCAATACTGGATCTTCACTAAATGATCATGTGATCTTTGGCAAGTTCCTTAACCTCCATAGACCCAGGTCTCCTTGTTTGCAAAATTAAAGCATTAAATATGATTAATCCTAGAATTTAAGGAACCTAAGATAATGTTATCAGGAAGTCCCATATATTAGATGATATGGAATCTAATTATGTGGAATTATATGGACTCATATATGGGTAAGGTACAGCAATAGGGTCAGATAGATAGCATAAAATGTAAAGGATTAAGCCCAGCAAATGAGAACAAGGACAGCAATGAGGAAGCAGAATCTACTGCCAGATAAAAATATCTGCAAACAAGAACAATTATTCTCTCCAAGAGCAGGCTTATATTATACAAAATAACTCTCATTAAACACATATTGGTAGCCACTGGTCTGAGGAGATGATTGCTGATTTGATGGCAATATGGAAGAAGAAAAGCAGATTTAGCCTCTTTAAAAAGGGAGAATATTCTAAATTTCAAGCATTGCTAATAACTGACTGGCAAATCTTCAAACAGCTCTTTTGTTTTTTGGCTTATTGTTTAGCTCTACTCTTACTGCTTCTGTGTCCAAGATTTAAAATTGGGATTTAAATAGCATAAAATCATAGGCTTAGAAGTTTTTAGAAAGCTTTCTGCTGGTGTCCTTAAAATGGAAGATTTCTATGTGGAAGAGGAAGCTTGAAACTTTTAGTCTGTCATCTCCCCCACCTTTTTTTTAGAGACAAGATCTCTCTCTGTTACCAAGACTGGAGTGCAGTGGCATAATCATGGCTCACTCTAACCTCTGTCTCCTCTAATCACAGGCTCAAATGATCCTCCCATCTCAGCCTCCCAAGTAGCTAAGACTACAGGCATCATGTGCCACCATACCTGGCTAATTTTTTTTTCTTATTTTTATTATTATTATTATTATTTTAGAGACAGGGTCTTACTATGTTGCACAGGCTGGTCTCGAACTCCTGGGCTCAAGTGATCCCCCTGCCTCAGTCTTCCAAAGTTCTGGGACTATAGGCATGAGCCACCGCACTCAGCTTCATTTTCCCTTTTTATTCCTGTTTAATACAGCCTAATCTTTTGGGCAGAAACATCACAAATAAAAGGCTATAGAACATGCGACCTGTCTGCATTGTAGAATTTAATGGAATAAGTCATTTTTTCCTCATTATTTCTCATAGGATAACTATTAGTATTATTGGCTATGCCTTTTAATTTTCTATTTAAATGACTAAATTTGCTCTAATGTGTTCATTTCTATTTCGGTAGAACATTTAACACTTTTATAATTAAAACATTTTGGGATCTGAGTGGGAGTTGGACATAAAATTAAAAAGAAAAAATAAATAAAAGAAAAAAAAATTGGTGGGTTGGGTGCGGTGGTTCACGCCTGTAATTCCAGCACTTTTGGAGGCCAAGGGGCGGATCACCTGAGGTTGGGAATTCGAGATTAGCCTGACCAATATGGAGAAACCCTGTCTCTATTAAAAATACAAAAATTAGCCAGGTGTGCTGGCGCATGCCTGTAATCTCAGCTACTTGGGAGGCTGAGGCAGGAGAATCACTTGAACCCTTGAACCCAGGAGACAGAGGTTGCAGTGAGCCAAGATCACATCATTGCACTTCAGCCTGGACAGCAAGAGCAAAACTCTGTCTCCAGAAAACAACAACAAAAAAACATTTTGGAAACATTTATTTTGGTGACATCAGCAAGATGGCCACCTAGAAGCCCTTAGGGCCTCTTTCCCTCACAAAGGCAAGCCAGAACAACTACATTTAAGAAAAATAACTGAGGAAGAGTGCCATCTTGCATCAGAGGAGTAGCAGAAATCTTGGTAAGCACAGAAACTCCAGATGGCCACATAGAGAACAGAAGGCAATGCCAGGCCTCCACTACCCCATCCCCCAACCAAGATCAGGTGGAAACTGGAAAGAACTTCCACCTATGAAGTGGAAGTAAGCAAGAGATCCCAACAACTCCCATCAACACCTTGAACACCTACACACCTCACTACTAGGGTCCCCTGCAGTCCTCACAGGCATTAAACCCAGCTGAGGGAGCTGCCTGTAGACCATAAACCTGTGCTCTCCCCAGAGAAGAACCTGACACAGTGCCCTGACACTTGTGGCCCATGTGGCTACTGTACTACACCATCTTGGGATTGGAACTATGGCTGAACTCTATCTTCCTCAGGGGTGAGTGGTCACGATGCCCCTTCATCCCTGGGGCTAAGCCACCACTGAACCACCCCAGGCCAGTGGCCAAATATCCCCAAGTGGAGCTACAAGCACTCTTCCACACGAGGCCAAGGGGAGGTGGAGTCACTCTATCTACCTCTCTCCCCTCATTCCCTTGGGCCAAAGGTGAGGCAGTACTCTGCCTCCTAGAAAAACAATTCCTTGCTTACTCAGAGCGCTCATTTCTCCTCAGTGCCTAAGTTGAAGAAGCTCCCTGCATCCCAAGAAATGGTGCCTTGACCACTCAGAACAGTCACATCCCCAGCTCTGAGCTGATGCTTCAGCACATTCCCCTCTGGGAATTGATACCCTGACCAAGCTGAGCTGCTACATATCCCAGTGCTGAGTTGATGTAGTAACCTGTGTCCCAAGGAAGCAGAGCGTTGGCTGAGCTAAGGAATTCTGCCCTGCAGGCCAAACAACTCTAGTACCTGGCTTCTCTGGAATTGGACTAGACCCCTAAAGTCTGAGTGGCTGAGATACCCCTCTCCCCGGGAAGTGGAGCTACTGCTATTCTTTTCCTTGTACTACCTATGGCCCAAACAACAGCTGTGTTCTGCCTTTCTGGGTTACTTGCTGCCACTGTACCTGGTCTTACAGTGTCTAGGATAATGCTGAGCCCCACCATTCCATGGTCTTGTGTCACTACTACACAGTGCTTCATGTCCTGGGAGCTGAGTCGCCTTTGAGTTTTATTTGCTTAGGTTCCCATACTGCAACCATATCCTCCTCCTGGGCCCAAACCTCCAGAGCAAGCTTCCTCTCTGGAGTCAGGCCAGTGCTGTGCCCTGCTCCCCTGGGGGAGAATCACAACTACAGCCCAGCCTCCTGTGCTCAAGCTCATGGGGAGTGCCTCAGAGTCACAGATCCTATCTCTATGGGCAACCTACACTCAACCCTGCCACAGAAAGCAAACTTGCACCCAAGACTCAGGAGCCACAATAAGTTTGGGAGATCCTATGCTTCGGACTCTAACCCCACAGCTTCTCTGAGCACCTGCACCTGGAACCCAGTCCCATTGCTACTGCTTATAAGCCATGTCAGACCTGACACCAAGAGGGATCCTCCTGAGCTAAGTTTCCCTATTGTGGGGAAAACAAGAGTAGGAGGACTCCAAAAGCCCTCAGCATCAAGGACATTAATAACATATGCCACTGCTGCTGCTGCTGCTGCTGCTGCTGCCACAAACTTTCTACAGCCTTGGCCACTGAGGTTCCCACAGGTATTGCTGATGTTGAACACAGCTGAAGAAACTGCACAGACACTATACCACTTCACCTATCTGGAAACAATGTCACTACGTCCATCTCAAGTAGCACACAAAATTTTAATTACAGGTGAAAATCGTCCTCTATAAAAGCCACTATAGAAAGTTTGGAAGAGGCAGTTGTTCCACCAAATACACAGGCAGGGACACAAGAAACATGATAAATCAAGGAAACATGGCACTACCAAAAGAATATCAGTGTCTCTAGTAGCAGACACTGATGAAAAGGAAATTAATTAATTGCCAGGAAAGGAATTTAAAATAATGATCTTAAGGAAACTCAATAAGATAAGCAAATTCAGACTGACGGTTCAATGAAATCAGGAAAACAAGTCCCCATATGAATGAGAAATTCAGCAAAGAGATAGAAATC